CTTAATAATGTGCGCTCAGACCTGAGCTATCTGGTAATATGTAGAACGTATATGTTTTATGTACTGAATGTAACTGTAGGTAATTTTATGTCTTTTACTGTTTGTTTTCTGCCATGTGGTTAATGGAGTTTTGCCTCTGTCTTTGGAGATAATTGAATTACTTCCCAAATTATCTCCAGGGCAGAGAGGAGGGATTGTGATGCATTGTGGGATAGTTGAAATGTGTAAGTCTGTGATTGGTCCTTTTACCCTTTGTGTCCCAGTCTCCCATTTGGTCCCCTAGGGGAGTGTCCACCAGAAGGGAGACATGCATAAAAGCTGGGCAGTTAGCCCCAGTAAATCGGTTCCTGCTTAACCCTCAAAGTGAAGTGTCGTCTCATTATTGGGGGAGGATTTACTGTATGCTGTTAGAGACTGATTGCCAGGAGTGTAAGCCGCTTGGGGGCTTTTCCTGTTCGTCTGCTAGCAGCTATTCGTGTGTCTCCAGTTCGGGAGTTGGTGAATTCGTGGGTTTGCAGTTGAGGAGATTGGTGCTTGCAGTAGCTGTCTGTGCAGCTGAAAAAGGGGAATATCGCCTAAATGGTTTTTAACCCCTTTTGGGCAAAACGGTCCGTTACAACAAGTAAGCTTCATGTTATAGAAGATTACTGGAGAACGGAAACTCACTTACTTTACTAGTGGACCATATCCCTGAACTATTGGAGGACTACTCATATTAACCTTAAGTATATATTTCAGTTATTTGTCTACAATATCATTTAATAATGAACTAATGCTTGCTTACTCAAATCTTCACTGCTTCAAGTTACTAATTATATGGAGGACAACTCCCATCATGCTTATTAACTATGAACTGTTTCTTGCTTTGCAAATACACTCAATGCTTCAAGCTACTAATTATATGGAGGACAACTCCCATCATGCTCATTCACTATGAACTGTTCTTACTCTGCAAATATTCTTAGCTAATTGCTTATTGTTTCTATTGAAGATTATTCACATTAACCTAAAGAATGTTACTTAATGCATCTCTGAAGAAATACTTAATAATGAACTTTGTGTTGTTGATTACTTGCACTTCTTATTGGATTATTGCCTAAATGCAATTCATTTAAGTTTAACACTTATTAAAACTTCGGTTGAATCAAGTTGCCAGTGATTCTCTCTTTTCTTAAAGCTACAGTATTGATACCTTAAAGATTCTCAGTTTCTTCACAATTGTAATTAGGGAGTTTACAAGCTGCAGTTGAGTCCCAATCCAAATCACCCTAAGTAGCGTAACAGTCTACCTTTAGGGCATTCCTGGTGTAAGCCAAAAGGAGATGTGGCTAAGGCTGCATAAACAACATGACTTGACTCCTACATTGCAGAGAATTGAGCAGTGAGATTGCAGGGGCATGATCTATACATCAATACCACTTTTTAAAGCTAAAATTGTTTTGTTGTTTAGAGCAGGGCCGGATTAAGAGCCCAGTGGGCCTGGTGCTGACAATTATGATGAGGCCTAATTACAGAATCCTATCAACAAAAACACTAAAACAGTCAAACCTCTCAAGCGTTATGTATCTGGTGGAGTTGGTGTTGGAGGGAAACTCAAAGGATTCAGCTATAAGAAAACACATACTCTATGCTAATCTCTATCTAATTTATGCTTTCATCTTTCAATAAATCCATACCAACAGCAGTGTCCAGTGAAGCAGGAAGCCAATGGGCGGGGTAAAAGAGTAGGCCACTGATGCGAATCACATGACCAGAACTGCCAAAAGGGGTAAACATGCCCAAAAAGGGGGTATGTCTGTCCAAAGAATTGGAAGGCCAGCCTGGCATCAGTGTCCCTATGCCTCACAGTGTCCCCATGTCGCCCAGTCTCTGTGTTCCCATTTCTCCCAGTGTCCTCAAGTCTCAGTGTGTCCCGTGTCACTAGGATACTAGGGGACACAGAGACACGAGACTGAGAAACATGGGGGCACTGAGACACTTGGGGAGACATGAGGGCACTTGTGGATACAGACATGGGGACACTGAGAGACATGGGGACACAGACATTTGGGACACTGGGAGAAATGGGGTCACAGACACTAGGGACACTGGCTGGGAGACATAGGGACACTGGGAGACATGGGGACACAGACATATGGGGACAATGGGAGACATGGGGACACTGGCTTGGAGGCATGGGGACACTGGGAGACATGGAGACACTGTGTCCCTAGTGTCTCTGTGTCCCAATGTGTTTACCTATGTCTCACAGCGTCCCCATGTGTCTCAGTGTCCCTTAGTGTCTCAGTGTCCCCACATCTCCCAGTGTCCCCGTGTCTCCCTGATGCCTTTTCCCTCATCCCTCACTTCCCTGAGCTGTAGTCTGTCTCTGCAGGCTGGGAGCTGCTGTCTGAACTCTGTGCTGTGTAGCTGCTCCCCTGCGTATCAGTGATTAGAGAGAAGCAAGGAGGGATATGCTGTAACTGCCTATCCCTGCCTCTCTCCATACACAGTGACCCCTACTGGCCGGTGCTGGTATTGCAGAGTAATCTGTTTATACTGAGAAAAATATTTGAATTTGTATTGCAATACCATCATGGCCAGGCAGCCTTAAATACAGGCTGTGCCTTAAAATACCAGTCCTGTGGCAAACCTAAGAGTAGTGTGTAATATAAAAAAAAAAAAAGTTTAAAATTTCTCTTTTTTTTTTTTTTCCAATGGGCCTATTCCATGGGCCTGGGCTCTATAGTGCCCCCACCCTCAGGGACCCCCTCCCGCCCGGCTCTGAAAAGGGGAAAGGGGTTTAAACTTACCTTTTTCCAGCGCTGGGCGGAGAGCTCTCCTCCTCCGTTCCGCCCCGTCGGCTGAATGCGCGCGCGCGGCAAGAGCTGCGCGCGCATTCAGCCGGTCGCATAGGAAAGCATTTACAATGCTTTCCTATGGACGCTGGCGTGCTCTCACTGTGAAAATCAATGAGACAGCCACTAGAGGATTAGGGGGAAGGCTTAACCCATTAATAAACATAGCATGGGTTAACCCTAGCTGGACCTGGCACCCAGACCACTTCATTAAGCTGAAGTGGTCTGGGTGCCTAGAGTGGTCCTTTAATGAAACTCAATGAATCTATTCATAGGAAAACTAACAGAACTATGTGATTCTAACAATAACCAAATTTAAAAAAAATACATTTCATGTTTGTGCTGGTAAAAACCAACAAAACTCAATGGAAGATATTTATCAAAATGTTAGAGTGACAGTCAGGGGCGGACCTGGAGCATTTGGCACCCGCGGCGGATCCTATATTTGGCAAAAAAAATTAAAAAGTCTTTAGCACTGAGTAGTGTCTTTATTTTTATGTATTTAGCACCAAGCACTGGTTGTATGTTTGAATGTAAGCATGTTTTTGCATGGAGTATGTGTGAGTGAATGTACAGGTGTGTTTGCACGTATTGGCATTTGAATGCAGGAGTGCATTTTTCTGTAGTGTGGTTTTTGAATATGGTGGTGTTTTTTTTGTAGTGTTGACATTTGGATTCAGGGTTGTATTTGTGTGTAGTGTAGGCGAAATGCTGAGATGTATGCACATATACATACACACAGAGGTACACACATTCAGTTACATAGAAACAGCCATACACAGACAAACACTGGCACATACAGATAGACACACAGATACAAACACACATATAGATAAACACACACAGACACATTGATACAAACAGATACTGACACATACACACATATAAGTGTGTCTGTGTGTGTTTGTATAGTGAATGCAGAGTGTGTGCTTGTATAGTGGATAATGGTGTGAAGGAAGGGGTGATGGTGGGGGGTGAAGTGAGAGGGAGCTCAGGGAGGGGAGCGAGGAGGAGGAGAGGGGGGGAGCGAGGAGGAGAGGAGGAGCGAGAGAGGAGAGAGGGCGAGGAGGGAGGGAGGAGGCGGAGAGGGAGGGGGGCGAGGAGGAGGGAGGCGAGGAGGAGAGGGAGAAGAGGAGGGAGGGAGTGAGAAGGAGGATAGGGAGGGGTGTTGATTGTGAGGGGGGGGTGAGGAGGAGAGGGAGTGGGGGTGATTGTGAGAGGGACTAAAAAATTACCTTAAATCCCTGGTGGGCATTATTTCCGGTCTGCAGCTCCGCATAGCTGCAGACCATGGATCTCGCGAGACCCAATCATAGTGTTGCTGTGGTAAGCAGCGGCAACGCTCTGATTGGGCAGTGTTCGCGAGACACATGGTCTGCAGCTCTGCACATTGCGGAGCTGCAGACCGGTCTCGGCGATGGGCATTGCAGTCTGCCCTGGGCACTCCCCCTAGTGAGTGGCACCAGGGGCGGATCGCCCCCACCCCCCCTTAGTACGCCACTGGTGATAGTAAAATTGCCTCATTATAATGATTGTATTTAAGTGTTCCAAAAGTTATCTGGAAAGTGACAGTTTTCTTCATAGCAAATGCAACTTTGTTGCATTGCTGAAAATGGTTAGAAAGTCTAGATCAGGAGTAGTCAGCCTTGTCCCTTCTGCCCACTAGTGAGCGGTCTTGGATTTCAGGTGGGCGGTGGTGGGTTCGCAGAAAACGCCTTGTGGGCCTCGATGGCCGTGGACCAAGGCAGGCGGGGGAGATACTTTCATTTCCCCTGCTGGACCATGTAGAGCCATCTTTGCTGTAAGCCCTCTTGGGCTAGTGATTAGATCAGAGATTTCCCTCACCGGCCTGCTGGCACTTAGTTCCAGCAGAGGGAGGCTCTCTGTTCCTCCTGCAAACAGGCTGGTCGGAGCGTTGCTGTGAGTTACCATGGCAATGCTCCAATACAGTGCTGTGCTCGCTGGAGGACAGGAGAGTCAGCCTGCAGCTGGGAGGAGCTGCTGTCAGGGCTTACCTGAGTTGGAGTCTGTAGCACAGATATATGTGCAAGTAAACACAGGCCAAGGTGGTCAGGTAAGACAGTCGGTGCACGGGGGCTGTGCAGGATGATGCTCCAAGTCGCAGTGCAGATACAGACATAAACAGGAGAATCGTCATCGGTAAGCCAAAGGTCAGTGGATGCCAGAAATCAGGATAAATGAGTAGAGAGCAGAGGTCAGAGGATGCCAGAAGTCAGGGTACATGAAATAACAAGCCAAGGTCAGGCATCAACAGGAGAACATGAAACAGCAATACTAGAACCAGAGTCAATGAACTGACACTGCCCTCAGGGAGAGGCAGTGTCTTATACCTGGCTAATCAGTGATCAGCCACAGGTGAACCATGAATGACAGGAGCAGTCTCAGATAATGTCCTGCCCCCGGTGCTGGATACAGGGCAAGAGTAGACTTCTGGATATTTCCTGAGCTGTTTGGTGGCTCAGAGGCAAAGCAGCAGCCACAGTACTGCAGAGTACTCAGGTTCAAATCCCTTGTCTGGCCCTTCTGGGGTGACCTTGTCTAGATGTTGCAGTAAGAACTGTGACAGCTGCAGGCTAAAGTGAACATGCCACTACTAGGCTTGCAGCACTATGTCCCCCCTCCCTGGTAAAAGGTAAGAAGAAGGGAGGGGGAGACATTAAGATAGATATTTGCATCTCACACATGCACTGCCTCCCCTCACAGACACACATAGAAATAAAAAGTAGCAGGGAAAATAGAAAAAAAAAGGAAATAAATACATTTAAACAAAACCGCCTTTATAGAAATATAAAATTAGTTACTGCGGCACTGGTGGGCAGTAAGGACATTTTACCATCAACAAAGATATAAAAGTGGGCGGTAGCAATAAAATGTTGTGACTACTCCTGGTCTAGACAGATCCTCTGGGAATAATGTCTTAAAGTTTATGGGGACATTAATGAGCAATTAATGACCAATTATCTCATTTAAACAGCAAGAGGAACAGAATAAAAATGATTATCCTTACAGTCATATTGGCTTTTGAACAAGCCATTCCTCAGCAATAAGATTGTGATTGATCTATCAAACAGGAGGACAAAATATACATCATTATTTTGGGGGTATATTTCCTTCCGAATAATGTGTTTGGTATGTTTGAATTTCTGGAATGTAATTTCCTCAAAGATTGTGAAAAAATGAAATACCAGAACGGTGTAGTTTAAATGGTGTGATAGAATCGTGGCATGGAATTTATATCCACCTTAACGCCAACGGTCTTAAGTTCCATATTTCTATTCTAGTATTTTGTAATTATGGAAATACTCAAATGAGGAACTAGAAACTATAGTACAGCAGATTATCACTCATGACTGCTACGCTGTTGATCACCCGCATATTTGCATGTAAAAAATGTAATCTTTTGTGCCGAAAATAATTTCTTCGGGGCAAAATACTGTTTTCTCTCTAGGAAATATTGTTTTGCTATTTATGTGCATGTTATTGTTCCAGTGACTGGAGTACAATTCTATGACTTTGAATTGCATTATTCTGAGAAACTGATCCTTAGGATATCTTTTTTTTGCCTACACCCAATCAGTGGCAGTGCATTGTGCATTTGCTTTGAAATGGTACAGACACTGAAATTCAATTTTACAAAACATTTTATCTAAAAAATGTGAAATTCTATTTTTCCAGCTTAACTTTATCGATCTAAATGATTGGCTGTCAATTCATCACAAGTAAAAGTAGATGCAAAATCCTTATTACTATGCAATGTTTTTTTATTTTCTTCAAAAAATTTTATTCAGCTTACAAACTCAAGTGTGACACACCCGACAATGTCTATCACAAGCCACGGGGACAGGGTCCACTCTGCTTACATAAATGCATTAGATAAGTAAGTTGCTACCGCATAATACCTGCACCAATTTTCCACAAATGACCAGGTAGTCAACCTTTTAATACCTACTTTTGTATCTCTGTTGATGGTAAAATTTACTTACCACCCACCAGTGTCGCAGTAACTAATTTTGTAGCGCAAGTGCGTTTTTTATTTAAAATTTATTTTAGAAAGGAGGATTTTAAAAAAAATATGTACCTAAATTTATCTATTTTTTTAAAATTTTCTATACTTTTTTTCTATGTGTGTCTGTGAGGTGCTGTGTGTGTGTGTGTGTGTGTGTGTGAAGGGTGTAGTGTGTGTGCCAGAGGTGCAGTGTTTGTGTGAGGGGGCAGTGCATGTGTGAGGTGGCAGTGTGTGTGTGAGTGGGCAGTGCGAGTGTGATGGACGCAGTGTATGTGTGGAGGGTGCAGTGCATATATGAGGGAGGCAGTCTGTGTGTGTGTGTGTGAGGGGGCAATGTGTAGGAGGTGTGTACTGTGTGTGTGGGGGTATGTAGTCAGGGCCAGATGCTGACAATTATGATGGGCCTAATTACACAATCTTATCGACCAAAAACACTAACACAATCATACCTTCCAAGCATCATGTATCTGATGGAGATGGTGTTGGAGGGAAACTCAAAGGATGCAGATATAAGAAAACACATACACCAAGCTAATTTCATGCTTTCATCTTTCAAGTAAATCTATACCCCCTATAAGAAGTGACTAGTGAAGCAGGAAGTCAATGGTCAGGGTAAAAGAGTGTGCCACTGGTGCGAATCATGTGACCAGACCTGCCAAAAGGGGTGAACATGCCCAAAAAGGGGGCATGTTTGTCCAAAGAATTGGAAGGCCAGTGTGCCATGAATGCATGTCAGGGTGCCTGCCAATCATGCAGGCTGTCCAACCAAGGGCATACTATGCAGGCAGAACCCTGAGCTTGACATAAATGCATCAAATGATGCACCTACTCCAAGCTTTCTAAGGACTGTCCCCTAGCACTCACATGTCCACTTGTCTCCTTACCTTCTTACTAGCAGGCAGAAGTTCCTGGTATATAGTCTGGGACAGAGAAAAGGTGAGTGTAGTGAGTATAGAAGAAAGGGGACATGCCACAGTGTTAGAGAGACCAAAGTCTGCATTACCTAAACTAATTTTATTGTCAGCCAGTCCACACAAGTTTTGTTCCCATACATCCCTCTTAAGCTTCCAAACTTAAAGGGACACTATTGTCACCAGAACAATTACAGCTTATTGTATTTGTTCTGGTAAGTAGATTCACTCCCTTCAGGCTTTTTGCAGTAAACACAGTCTTTTCATAGATAATAACTTTACTGGCCATTCCTTAGATGGCTGCTAGAGGTGCTTCTTGGGGCAGTACTGCCTAGTGTGCAGCACTGCCATTCAGTGTCTCCACCTTCTGCATACAGACACTGAACTTTCCTCATAGAGATGTATTGATTCAATTTATCTTTATGAGGAGATGCCGATTGGCCAGGGCTATGTTTGACTTGTGCTGGCTCTGCCCCTGATCTGCCTAGTTGACAGTCTCAGCCAATCCTATGGGGAAGTATTGTAATTTGCTCAGACCACCACTTCTGATGATATCAGCAGACAGTCAGTTCAGAGGCAGAGCCAGCAGCTGCATACTTGAATACAAGTAAGATATTACTATATTTAGAGAGGCAAGAGGGTTCCAGGGGGGCTAAATGGTGGTTTTAACATAATAGGGTCAGAAATACATGAGTGTGTTCCTGACCCTATAGTGTTCCTTTAAGCAAGAGTATGTGAAGAGTAGTTAGAGTTGCCACCTTTCTTGGAAAAAAATACCAGCCTTAAATAATTTGCATAATTAATTGTGTAAGCGTGACATCACATGATGTAAATCACAAGAAGTGACATAAGAGAAAATTCTGTAAAATCACCAACAAACTACTCACAGTTTGATTTTGCTGTATAGATGGATTGCTCCCAGTGTCTCCCTGTCTCCCTGTGTCTCAGTCTCGCAAGTCACTCAGTGTCCCTATGTTTCACAGTGTCAGTGTCCCCATGTCGTCCAGTCCCCTAGTCTCCCAGTGTCTGTGTCCCCATTTCTCCCAGTGTCCCCATGTCTCAGTGTGTCCCCACTAGGATACTAGGGGACACAGTGAGACATGGGGACACAGAGACCTGGGGACACTGAAACACGTGGGGATACTGGGAGACATGGGGGCACTTGTGTGTACAGACATGGGGGCACTTGTGGATACAGACATGTTGACACTGGGAGACATGGAGACACTGGGAGAAATGGGGACACAGACATTTGAGGACATTGGGAGAAATGGGGACACTGAGACACTAGGGACACAGAGACATGGGGACACAGACACTGGAAGACATCGGGACACTGAACATTTGGGGACACTAAGAGACATCGGAACACAGACAGTGGGAGACATGGGGACACTGGGAGACATGGGGACACTGAGGGACACTATGGAAACTGGTTGGGAGACAGACACTTGGAGACACCGGAACACTTGTGGACACAGACATGGGGACACTGGGAGGCATGGGGACACAGACATTTGGGGACACTGGGAGACATGGGGACCCTAGGCACATTAAGAGACATGGGAACACAGACAGTGGGAGACTTGGGAACATTGGGAGACATGGGGACACTGGCTGGGAGACATGGGGACACTGGGAGACATGGGGACACTGATATACTAGGGACACTGGCTGGGGGACATGGGGACACTGGGAGACATGGAGTCACTGTATCCCTAGTGTCTACCTGTCCCAATGTCTCTATGTCTCACAGCACCCCATGTGTCTCAGCATCCCCATGTCTCCCAGTGTCCCAAAGTGTCTGTGTTCCAGTTCTCCCAGTGTCCCCTAGTGTCTGTGTCCCTATGTGTCCCCTAGTGTCTCAGTGTCCCCATGTCTCCATGCTGCCTTTCCCCCCATCCCTCACTTACCTGAGCTGTAGAGCTGCTGTCTGGACTCTCTGTGCTGTGTAGCTGCTCCCCTACAGATCAGTGAGTAATAGAGAGAGGCAGGTATATGCTGTAACTTCCTATCCCTGCCTCTCTCCACACACAGTGACCCCTACTGGCCAGTGCTGGTATTGCACAGTAATCTCAGTTTATACTAAGAAAAATACCTGCAATTGTATTGCTGCAATACCGGCACAGCCAGGCAGCCTTAAATACCGGCTGTGCCAGTAAAATACCATTCAGGTGGCAAACCTAAGAGTACTTTGTAAAAAATAAAAAATAAAAAGTAATTTTTTAATTTTTTAAATGGGCCTATTTCATGGGCCTGGGCCTGGAGCGCCATCAGCCCCTATGTTAATCCGGCCCTGGATGTAGTGTGTGTTTGTGTGTGTAGGGTACATGGGGTTTATGTTGTGTGTAGGTGTGTGAGATGTGAAAATCTATCTTAATGTCTCTCCTCCCTTATTATTACATTTACCAGGGAGGGGGGACATAATGCTGCAAGCCCTGGTGGCATGTTCACTTTAGCCTACAGCTCCTCCGGCTGCAGGCTAAGTATCCGTCCTCCTGCATTAGAGCATTGCCATGTTACGCTCCGACAAGCCTGCTCGCGGGAGGAACACAGAGCCCCCGAGGCCCTTCCCTCCTTAGGTCCTCACCAGCCCGAGAGGGCATACAGCAAGGCTGGCTCTGCTTGGGCTGGCAGGGGAAATGAAAGGATCTTCCCTGCTGGCCTTGGTACTCGGCCATCGAGGCCCACTGGGCATTTTCTGCAGAACCCACCACCGCCCACATGAAATCCCAAACTGCCCACTAGTGGGCGGTAGGGACCAGGTTGACTACCCATGGTTTAGACATACCTTGTTTGTGTTTACACAATAGCGCCACCTGTAGGTTAAGACAGTGATATTTAATTGTGCTGATGTTCTTGCCTCTCAGTTTCCTGTAAGACATAAAGTGTTCTTATCATAATCAGAGTGCTCACATATCCATATAGTACCCATTAAAATATGACTGCATGCACGTGGACAGGAAGAAACTGAAATTGCGCAATATATATAATTTTTTTATAGAACTGAAGGAATCATTTAGGGAAAGGCTCAGGAAATTCTGAAACTGCAAAGGGGTTATATAATTTATTACTCATATCTCACATTTTAGTAGGTGTAGAAATGATGTAAGAAAGACTTGTATGTTAAATTACAAAAACACATAAATAAAAAATATATAAACAATATATTAAAAGAGTTCACACATTTCTATTATAGCACTTCAGTATTATGTGATTATTTACCACAAACGTAAAGCACTGCGGAATAAGTTGGTACTATATAAGTGCCAGAAATGATAATAACCCAATATTGAAATACTATGATAATTGTAAAACAATAAGTGCAAAAAAGGTGAAAAAAGCAGGACTAACAATTCTGAATATTAAAAAGGACACTATAGGCACTCAGACTCCTTCAGCTCAATGAAGTGGTCTGGGTGCAGTGTCCCTGTCCCACTTAGTCATGCAATGTAAAACACTTTTTTTTTTTTAGAAACTGCAATATTTACATTGCAGCACAAGAACAGTCTCTAGTGGCTGTTTTCTAGACAGCCACCAGAGGCGCTTCTGAGATTTTCCAGACGCTAGGTCGCTTAATTGAAACTGTCAGTTAGGTCTGTTGGATGACGTTGGAGGAGGCGGAGCAAATCAGAATCAAGGGAGATCTGCACTGAAATCGGGTAGGTGATTAAAATGTTTTCTAACCCTTTCAATTATATACTAAGGGGGACTGCGAGGGTGGGGGCGGGGGAACTTTGTATTCCTAACACTATAGAATCCCTTTATCCATCATCCTACAGTGCATGGGGTGAAGACATTGGGAACCATTCCACATGAAATTCAGATCCCTTTTATTGGTCAAAATTACTTTTAATAAAATGTACTATTACTAATTATTTCAATTGGAATTTTAGTTGCAATTTGCACTAAATCTGAATGTAAGACATGGAATGCTCATTTGGAACTTGGCAGATAAACCTTACTGATAAATCACTAGGCATGTGCATGGGGAAAATTTTCGGTTTGGTTCGGCATTCCGAAATTCGGGACATTCGCAATTCGGGACTTCGGCAATTTGCCACTTCAACACTTCGGAACTTTGGCAACTTCGGAACTTTGACACTTCAGCACTTCGGAGCGTCGGCACTTCGACACTTCGGAAATTCGGCAACTTCGGCACTTCAACACTTCGGAACTTCGGAATTTCGGAATTTCTGCATTTTGGAATTTCGTGACTTCTGTACTTAGGGACTTGTCTTGCAGCCGCTTAGTAGATAACTCCCTAATTCCCACGGTATTAGGGAGTTATCTACCAAAAGGCTGAAAGACTTAAATTTGTCTTTCAGCCAAATTTCAGCCAAATTTACTATTACTAAGTAAAAATTACTTAGTATTAGTAAATTTTGCCCCTACTCGCTATACCGCGAGTAGGTGCATGTTTTCTTTTTAAATAGAGTCCCCCCCCCCGAGCCCTCACCCGCGACGCGCGAGTGGGGGCTTTTAAACTAAAGGGGGGACCTATTGCCCCCCGGCACCCACCCCTGAGCGGTGTGTGGGGGCCCTAAAGTAAAATGATGGGGGGACCTATTGTCCTCCCCCCCCGGCCCCCACCCCTGAGCAGTGGTTGGGGGCCCTAAATACTTATAAGGCGGGGACCTAATGTCCTGCCCCCACCCCTGAACGACGGGTGGGGGCCCTACAGTAAAATAAGGTGGGGACCTAATGTCCTCCCCTCTGGCCCCCACCCCTGAGAGGTGGGTGGGGGCCCTAAAGTAAAATGAAGGGGGGGACCTATTGTCCTCCCCCCGGTCCCCACCCCTGAGTGGCAGGTGGGGGCCCTAAATTGGAATAAGGGGGGGGACCTAATGTTCTCGCCCCTGGCCCCCACCCCTGAGCGGTGGGTGGGGGCCCTAAATACTAATAAGGGGGGGAACCTAATGTTCTACCCCTGGAACCCACCCCTGAGCTGCTGGTGGGGGCCCTAAATACCAATGGAGGGACCTATTGCAAGCCTTATTGCAATTTAGTGCCCCCACCCGCCGCTCAGGAGTGGGGGCCAGGGGGGAGGACATTAGGTCCCCCTTTATTAGTATTTAGGGCCCCCACCCACCGCTCAGGGGTGGGAGCCAGGGGGGAGGACATTAGGTCCTCCCCCTTATTATAATTTAGGCCCCCACCCACCGCTCAGGGGTGGGCGCCAGGGGGGAGGACATTAGGTCCCCCCTTATTCTGATTTAGGGCCCCCACCTGCCGCTCAGGGGTGGGTGCCCGGGGGGAGGACAATAGGTCCCCACACAAAATTCTATTTAGGAGCGAGATGCAATGTTGAATTTTGTAATTTTAGTAAAACCCACAATCCTACAGTTTCTGCTAGGTTGTCTACTCATATGCCATGTATATGTCCTAAGTATCATAACCTTGCTATGGTACCGTATTGCTACAGTTTTACGGATTGTGAATAAGTGAAGAGTTTAAAAAAAACTGAGAAAACTGATGCTTCAACAGGTTAAATTGGGAAAATCAAAGAACTTTCTTCCAGTGTTGTTGCTACTTTTTACCGGCCAGACACTACTTGTGTGATGATCCCATTATAATTTCTTCCTTATTTTCTATCTATGTAACAATATTGATTTTTAAATTTTATTATTTTACATACAGGTAATTAAATCATAAAAAAAAAATCATAACAGAAAAAAAAATACTTATCAAATTGTAAAGTTATAAAATGTTTTCACAATTCCTCTTAGTTTGTTCTTACATCATGCAGTAATTTCCACATTTTACAACTTTGTTACAATGGTATATTTTAAAGAAGGAAGCTTGGCACAGATGTATCAATGTGGGAAATTGACTGTTAAGGCTGTCACGTGCCATATAGGTCAATAGCATAGAGAAAACAAACATACAAAAAAAAACTAAGGGGTGGATCTTGCTCCCCACTTTGTATAAATAAGGCAGGTATTAACACAAGGCAGGTACACACCATCCCTGCACTATCCTTGTAATCTAGGTACAGCTGACAAATATAACTGAACAATGAAGGCTGATGCTAGTCAGATGAAAGCACTGTATGAAGCCAATGGCTATCTGACTGCGATCCATGTACTGGGTGAGAAGGAAATGGAACAGGCCAGCAAAGAGTATGGAAAACTGGAACAAAAGTTTGGTAAGTTCTCATTCATATTTTTGTTGAGCATGATGGGAGTTGTAGTTCCTGGAGAATCTGTAGTATATTTTGTACAAATTAAACATAAAACCATTAATGACATTTGTACTATAGGTGCGTATGAGTGAAATAAAGGTGAATATTATGATGCAGAATCTACTGGTGATACTTTATTCACTAAACCCTGAATTCTAATGAACTAAAGAAACCAAATGATAATATAGGCTCCACTAATGGGCACAAAAAATATAACTTAATATTACAAATTATGATATTTAAATATATATATAATAGTATCATTCATATGTTCCCCAGAGAAGTAGCATACATATTATATATAAATATTTTTTAAAAAATGTTTTAATGAATATAAACCTTCATTTGTTCCCCAGGCAAGGAGTACACTCAGTACAACCTGCACAACATCCACATGGAGCATGAGTGGGTGATGAATTTGGCTTCCCATCCCAACCTGCTGCAAGCGATCACTGCTGTCCTGGGTCCTAATGTAATTCTGCTGGACTCCAGGTTTATCTGTAAATATCCTTCCTCTGACGTTCCCCATAAAGAAAACATAGCGCCCTACGTGGCCTGGCACCAGGACATCAAGTAAGTAAAAGACAGATAGTATTCATATGAATTTACTAAAATTAGGGAGCCATTTATAGCATGGTTTATAGCATGGCACACCTTGATTTGTGATCTGTCTACAGATACTGGGGGTTTGAAGGCGGTCCAGTGGCTTCAGTGTGGCTGGCATTTGATGACGTGGATGCAGAAAATGGAGTCCTTCAAATTATCCCTGGTACAGTGTTTACTTATTCTATCAAACGTGATACATGTATTATTCTGTCTTTCTATATTTCCGTTTATCTGCCTTTCTATATTTCTGTCTGTCTACATATCCATCTTATTAAGAGTTGCATTAGACAATACATTTTAAAAATCTGCAGTTTTTGAAAGTCATGGGATTAACTAAAATTAGAATACACAATAAAATGCACTTACAAAGTTATAGATAAGGGATAAAATATTGTAATAGTATGTGAGCTTTTAAAGAAAGAACTACAAATTGCTATTATTTTGTATTTGATGATACATTGTATCTTTCCATAGGGAGCCATAAACAAGGTGTTCTAGAGCACAAAATTGCAGAGACTCCAGGGAACATGCTGACAGCCAATCAAGAAATCCCGAAAAACCTGGTGAATGCGGAAGATGCGGTGGAGTGTCCTCTTAAAGCTGGACAAATGTCGGTAAGTAAATCAACCAAATGAATATCAGAAAATCTTGACAGGATTACTTTTTAACAATTAATGGAATTATTTTTAGTAATAATTTCCAAGGACAATTAATTATTTTTTAAAATTAATTTAGAGTATATATATCCTTGTAGAGTTAGTGAGGGACTCAGTCACATTTCAGTAGTTTGAGCTCAAGTAATTATGAAAGTAATTATGAAATTATGTAATCACTGCATTTGTTCACATTAACGAAATTCCAAGTTAAGGAGTCTTTGGTATGTTAGGCCTTTCCAGTGGAACCATCAGTGTTACGTATAATTCCAGGGCACTACAAAATATTCATGTAGTTTTGTTTAATATTTTCCAGGTGCATGATGGGTTAACAGTTCATGCCAGTGAACCCAATATGTCAAACCGGAGAAGATGTGGATTTGTGATTCGCTATGTTCCCACCGCTGCTTATCCTGTTGAGGTGAGAAATTAAAACGCCATCTTTTCAGAAGTGTAATGCAATGTATATAACCCCACTAATTTATTGGAAACAACTGTTTACTAAATGAACAATCTGAATTTATTACAGGATCCCGAACGCCCCAGAACATTCCCGGCAACTGTGCTCATGGCTGGAATGGATGAGTTTCAGAACTTTGAAAACAACGCTCCCAACTTTTTTACCAAGACTTTTTAGCTGAAGAAGGAAGGAATAGGGCTTAAATTATTTTTTTTAGTAAATTAAATTATTTATATAGTAACCATTTATGTAAAAAAATCAAGTAAGATAAATTATAGCACATGACATAAATTATATATATATATATATATATATATATATATATATATATATATATATATATATATCATTGTTTAATGTCATTTGCTTATAAGTATATTTGGAGCTATTAAAGTTACATGTTTACAAATATTTATATAAAAATGACATAAAAACACAGAACATATTATGATATATACACACACACATACAACTTAACCATTAAGGCTTAACATGTCTTGTTGGAAACTGCCTTTAGCTGTTTTTAGTTGTAGAATGTATCTACTTTGAATTTATTTTATAAATATTGATGTTGATAATTTAACACACTATTTTGCACATTTGCATAATATATATTTGTTAAAATATTAGTATGTATTAAACGACACTACATTTTTAAAATAAAAACCTTTTAAAATCTTAAATGTTGTTTGTGTATTCTCTTAAATGAAGGAGTAAATATAGATGTAGTCGTATACAGGTCTGAATTACACCAAATATATCATTCTGGATTTAAAACAAAAAATATAGACGTTTTTCATGACAATCCATGCTCATTTGAACATTAAAATAAAGAACATATTTGGAACTTGTTAATAAGAAAAAGTGACAATTTAAAAAATAAAAAGTTTGTGTTTTTTATTTTCCAAATTATTTATATATGTATATTTTCCAATATTTAAAGCGTTCATACAAACAACAGAGAATAACCCCATAAAGATAGTGTTCCCCTTTGCTTCACTTGTTTATTCATTCCAATTATTAATTTAAATTATTAAATTATATCTTCCCTTACACCTAGTTGTCTCCATTGTCTATCACGTCTCAGAACGTCAGTGCTTTGATACTTTGGCATTACTGTGGAGATTTCTAAGGTGACATACACACCACAGATTGCAATACTCCACACAGCACATGAATTGTAAAGAATGCTAGGAATTGTAAAGGCATCCCTACATACCATAAAAAAGATACTGGCTCCTTACCTGTTCTTTGGTGGCCGTCCTCATGCAGGGGGTGAGAGATAGGAAGGCGTCCAACCAGTAAACATTTCAGGGTCGGTGGTCACAAGCTTCTTTTAGGGAGAGCAGGCTCTTCATTGTGCATCTCTCCTGTTACCTCTGCCCAACTTCTCTCCTTGCCCGGTCTCCTCAGTTTCGGCAGGGACTGGAAGGATCACAGTTATAGAGATACACAGGGAATATGATAGAGTCAAGGCCAGATTTACAGTCCTTGCTGCCGCAAGGCCAGTATATATATATATATATATATATATATATATATAAAAAACACAATATAGTTACCATATACACACACAAAGAGATAGATAAACCACTATGAAAAAGTGTACGTCACAGACACTTCAAAGATACTGAGACAAAAAAAAATATTATATATGTCCCTAAATGGGGAAGTATTTAATAGGGTAGGGGGTTATGTGGTACACCAAGATAAGAACAATACAACCTGTGTGGCCACAATATGGTATAACAAAATATAGTGAAGTACATAGGAATAAGGTAAAAAACTCCACAAGGTAGAAAACTTACAAAATGTAAGGAATAATGCGCCTGTCTCCCCTCAAGGGTATTTAGAGATGTTGAGGATCTTTTCAATGGAGCCACGAACATCAGAACAGCAGAAGGTACAAAATAGTGCAAAATTGTTTAAAATATAATAAATGTAATTACTAGTTGCACTTACATATGAATAAAAAGACAGGCTTGTCTCCACTGATAAGTGGACCGAGTGTGCAGACATCCACTCCAAAATTTGGGATAAAGATGCTGGACAATTCAACATGTAAAAAATATATATAAAACAAAAACATTATAAATGTGATAAAAGTCCAGAAGAACAGCAGGTATCCAGTGCATTTCGTCACAAGGTGACTTCCTCAGGGAAATGTGATATCCCTGAGGAAGTCACCTTGTGACGAAACACGTTGGATACCTGCTGTTCTTCTGGACTTTCATAATTTTATATATTTTTTTACATGTTGCATTGTCCAGCATATTTATCCCCCATCTTGGATTGGATGTCTGCACACTCCGTCCACTTGTCGGTGGAGACAAGCCTGTCTTTTTATTCGTATGTAAGTGCAACTTGTAATTAAATTGATTATATTTTAAACAATTTTGCACTATTTTGTACCTTCTGCTCTTGTAGATTTATACTATACCATATTGTGGCCATACAGGTTGTATTGTTTTTATCTGGGTGTACCACATAACCCCCTACCCTATGTTTAGGGACATATATAATAATTTTAATATACTCAGCTGATGACTGATCAATCTCATGTGAAGCACAGTAATAGACAAAGTCCAGTCCCCAGTGCTGCAGACAAGCCAGAATGAACAGGACTATAATAATTACAAGGATAGGAACTGCTGTGGCTCAAAGGTAGATAGCAGGCCCAGGACAGCAAAGTGCCCAGGTTCAAATCCCCTGTTGGGTACTCAAGGGGTCGGTCGGCTATGCCTGGCCGTCTGTATGGCAAAGTAAGAACCACAACAAGGTTATACTGCCTAGGTGTTTTTAAGTAGAGTATACTGGAAGCTCTACATATTATTGCATTTCTTTTTATTTCTTTAGAAATACAACCAACCCTTCTACACTACATATTTTCTTTTTGTGTTTGTTTATTTCCATATTTGAATACCCCTTTGGTCCTCCCCATCCTACATCTGTCCATACCATTGATTTGTCACTTACTGCGTGGGGGTCAAACTGGCTTACCCTCCAGCAAATATAATAAACTTTGGGACGTTGATTTAGTTTTCAACATTCTACAGGAATGGTTACTGTGTTTAGTTTCTTTCCATCGGGTTTCAGAAGTCGGGGCATTTGATGTTGTTTGTTTTTCCTTTTCCCCAAGACAGAGTGTAGTTTTTGATTTCACATCTTCCAAAACAGATTCAGTGACTATTTTTTTGCCTGTTCTTCTGGTATGTTCCTCTTTTTTTGTATAGTAAGGCCTTCTTATGATATATGGAACTAATGGCTCCTTTGCAGGCATCGCCATATGTTCAATTGCACAAACCAATGTCCACTACTACACTTGCAAGTTAGTTGGTTAGTTAGTTGGTGTAGACCCTGTCTTCCATGCTCATTCAGTTCAGGGCACGGCAGCAACACGTGCTGTTTCCAAGAGGGCTTCTCTCTCTGACATTTTGTGACAGGTCTTGAAAGGATATGTTTTGTGTCTGTTATTTTCACCCATCTCCTCATGCTTCTTTTTCACTACTTTCACAGCGTTAGAAAGGCAAAATATGAAGCCTCCTGTCATGTGGGAAAATTGTAAAAGTATGCCAAAATAGTGTACCCATAATCTTAATTTTAATAATGATATGAGGCGAATATTGAATATTGCTGCAAATCAATTTATAACTTTTATAAAATGCGTTTTTCTGGATTTTTTTTTGTTATTTTGTCTCTCACTGTTAAAATACACCTACCATTAAAATTATAGACTGATTAAGTCTTTGTCAGTGGGCAAACGTTCAAAATCAGCAGGGGATCAAATACTTTTTTTCACTCACTGTAAATATATATATATTTTTTTGTTATTTTTTTGTTTTTGTTTTTTAGTTTATTTATTATTTTTTAAAAATGGGATGAAAAAAATCAACATGAAGGAATGAAAACACTCAATCGCTCCCTCACCCATACTCACTCTCAATGACAAAGTTTTATTAATCTGCACACACAATGTACTAACTGGCTCATATATAGGCATATTCAAATACAGTGAGTCATAGACACACACACACTGGCTCACACATACTAGGTGACACACAAACACACAGTCACTCGCTCAAGTACACACTCATATACATATACACCCACCCACCAGCTCACTAGCCCATACACAATCGCTGGATATTACACAAACACACACGCACACAAACACTGGCTCTTATGCACATACTGTTTTTTACACACACACACTGGCTCTTACACACACACACACATACACTGATTCTTACACACACACTGACTCTTACACACATACACACACACACTGGCTTTTATATGCACACACTTACTGTTTCTTATCATTGTTCCACACAAGTCTCACTAGGTGTGGCTGCCCTTCTCTCTACCACAGCACTTGGCCACCGGGATATGATATCGTTTAACCCAGTGGCCTTCACTTCTTAAAGCAATGCCGCAGCCGCTCCTTGATGCTGCCATCCCCTCTGGGATGCCATGCTTTATTTCTTCACATCAAAAACAGAGGCACCACAGTACAACGGCCATATAACTATTCACTCGGGCTTTTGGCATGGCTACATTAAGTGACCCTTGGGAGAGTAGTTCTCTGTGTTCTCACCTCATCCCAGTCTCCCGGACATGTTTTGCGACCCTGGGCCAGCGCGCCCTAAGGCAGCTGCCTGTGCCGCCTTATGGTAGGCCCTGTGCGTATGATTGACTGACATTTGGCACTGTTGAATAGACTTAGGCCAGGCTAATTACAAAAGAGTAGAAGATAGAAGATAAATCAAAATGTTAGCTTGGAAAGTGCTTTAGGTGATGGTTTAAAACAGGGTTCTCAAACTCTGCCCCGGCCCCCCCTTTCCTCCCCTCCACCCCTGATGTTGCTGTCTTGCAACTCCCAGAATTTATTAAATGTGATAGATGGCCAGATGGAGTTGTAATTCAGCAACATCTGGGGCACAGTTTGAGATGCCTAGTTTAAAAGAACAGGTAGTCAAGACACAAGTAATAAAACTCATATGACTGACTTTGAGGAGCAGCTTCTACTCCCTTCACCTCTTGGTGATGACACTCCTGGGAACCACCACACTAAAACAGGGCATACATCCCTTACCACTGGTCACAGGCCTCTTTTTGTAGAATGGTGGCTATTTTTAAAGCAGTGCCCAGTTACTTTATAAAAAAAATGGCAAGTGTAATAAGCTATGCCGCTTTTTATTGTTTTTCTTATTTATTGAAATTTTCTTCTAACTCCTTTGCTTTGTGTTTTTTGACATTCTATGTTGTAATTACCCCAGGAAACACTTTGCTGTGATTGTGTTAAATGGAATAACCAGAATATATTACACAAGGCACAGCAAATGAATGTACACTGATAAATGTTCCAGATTTGCAATTAGCTTAGTCTACTGTGCTGTCTTGTGAGTATTGAATTATAAGAATAAGGAACTAGAAACAAAAACTACAGAAAAGAGAAGAGTGAATTAGTCACCATCACTACACCATTGATGAGTAATTCTTCTGTGACAAATGATAATCATGTCATGGTAAACTAATCATTTCTATCTATGAAGTACTGGGTTGCTCTGTATTTACAATGTATTATTCTAGTGATCTTATGGAACTTTCAAAGATAGTGTTATTATTATTTGTTAGTCATT